TTTCCTTAAGTGCTTTGTGTCTGACAAGAAAAACATCTGATTTTTTATAGCCATTTACTAGGACATAACAGAATCACATGATTGTGAGGGTTGGAAGAGACCTCTGGAGATGATCTAGTCTAAGCCCCCCCGTGCCCCGCCCCGCCAAGGCAGGGTCACCTAGAGCAGGTTGCACAGGAATGCATCTAGGCTGGTTTTGAATGTCTGCAGAGAAGGAGACTGCACAACCCCCCTGGCAGCCTGTTCCAGCGTTCTGCCACCCTCAACAGAAAGAAGCTCTTCCTCATGTTGAGGTGAAACTTCTTGAGCTTTAGTTTATGGGTACCACTTAAGGAGTCTATCACCACCCTCCTGGTGCCCACCTTTGAGATATTTAAATGCATTAATGAGATCCCTTCTCAGTCTCCTCTTCTCTAGACTAAACAGGCCCGGCTCCTGCAATCTCTCCTCATGAGAGATGCTCCAGACCCCTGATCATCCTTGTGGCCTGTGCTGGACTCTCTCCAGTAGCTCCTTGTCTTTCTTGTACTGAGGAGCCCAGAACTGGACATAGTATTCCAGATGTGGCCTCAGCAAGGTGGAGTAGAGGGGGAGGATCACCACCCTTGGCCTGCTGGACACACTCTTCCTGATGTACCCCAGGATACTATTGGCCTGTCTGGCCTCAAGGGCACGCTGCTGGCTCATAATCCGCTTCTCATTCACCAATACTCTATCTCATCTCTTTACTAAGCTGTGCAAAGATGCCTTTTTTTTATGTCTTTTATCATGGTGAAGAGTATTTGCCAAGAAATCAGAATCTGGTTTAGCTCAGCTGAAAAAAACAGGGTTTTGAAGTCTGTGCATACCCTTGACTGGCTGATTTTGAGGAAGAGATGGCTTGTGTAACATCAGGTTGCAGGTCCACGAGAATGTAGCTTCTGCTAGAAAATTGTTAAAAAATAAATCTTCCTCAACTGCTATTAAGTTGACCTAAAAGTGTTTCTGTACTTGGTGTCTGTGGCTCCTGTTTTGAGGGGGGGCTGCAGAGGCAGCCTCTGTGAGGAGAGCCTGGTGCTGGATATGGCCATTTCCACACAGCTCTAGTGGACCCAGCCTAGAGAAGAGTTGAGCCCCTCGGCCAAAATGGTGGCACCTGTTGGAAAACACACCCAGAAAGGGGCAAAATGCCATATGTCAGCATGAGGAGAAAAGTGTGAGAAGCAGCCCTGTGAACACCAGGGTCAGTGGAGGAAGAGAAGGAGCAGGGGCTCCAGGCGCTGGAGGAAAGATTCCTCAGTAGCCTGGGGGACAGGCCATGGTGCAGCAAGTATTTCCCTGCAGCACGTGGAGGAGTATACCAGAGCAGGTATCTGCTTGGCAGCGTGTGGAGGATACCACACCAGAGCAGGTGGATATTCCTTGAAGGAAGTGTGGCATACGGATTGCTCAGCCTGGAGCAGACTTACCTTGAAGCCCTGCAGCCTGTAGGAAAGACCCATGCTGGAGCAGGGGAAAAACGTGAGGAGGAAGGGGTGGCAGATAGCTACTGCAGTGGTGTGACCCCAGCCACCCCATTCTCTGAAACACAGCACTACACAGTTGTGTTAACACGTTTCTTTTTCACAGTAAAGTGTGTTTTAATGTTTAGGCTAGGTAAAGTGGGACTTGTTTTTCCTTTTGTCTTGTTGTGAGGTTTGTCTTAAGATGAGTTGACAAACTGTGTGCAAATTTTAGCTTTCTCCCCACACCCCTTTTTTTTTTTTGCATCATAATTGGCATCTGTTCTCTATGTCATTAATGGTACCTAATTTTCTATGAAGTATCTGACAATTAATTCTCATACTTCCTGCTACAGGGCTTTAGAATTAGAGGCAAATAATGACTGTGCCAGAAGCTTTTATTTGGATATTTTCATTGCTGTTGCCCTCTATTCTCTGTTTTTTGTTTTTTTTTTTCTCATGTTCTCCTAGGATCTTCTTGTTCAAGAGCCTAAAAGCATTTAAAGTTTACAGAATGAAAAGATGGCACAAGCGATGCTGGTACCACCAGGATCTGGCAGCTTCTTCTGTTTCACCAAAGAATCTCTTGCAGCTATCGAAAAACGTATTGCTGATGAAAAAACTCATGATGACGAGCATAAAGATGATGGTGGTCATGAGGAAGATCACCCAAAGCCAAGTCCTGACTTAGAGGCAGGAAAGACACTGCCATTTATTTATGGTGATATTCCTCCGGGAATGGTATCTGTGCCCCTGGAGGACCTGGATCCATATTATATCAATAAAAAAGTAAGTATTTTATATTAAGAGTGTAATTAGAACAGTCCTGTTGAACTATAAAGTGATAAATGCTCTGGTGTGGAGGTAGTCAGAAGCCCTGGTTGAAAGTATTATGCAGTGTGTGATATCACCTTAATTACTTTGAGTACACTAAATATGACTGTAACTCTTCTGCTTAATAAGCTTTTCTTTTAATGTCTGCGGTTTCCTATGATGATAGTTTGAGTTAGTGGATTTGGTTTAGATGTCCTAAAATCTCTTCAAATCTGATTGAATGCAGATACATTTGAAAACTTCCTCTGTCTGCCTACTCTGTTCCTGGGGTTTCTAGGAAACATAGACAGTACCTGAGATCTATTTCAGTAAGGTAATCTTTGGAAAAAGTGCTCGTTCAGTCATGTGCCAAAATGGTTAATTGTCAAACTTTCCTTGAAATCTCATAGAAATATTTGTTTTGTAAAAAGTTAACTGTTAAACACTGTCTGGCTAGGAGTGACATAAGTAAAAAGAATAAATATTGTCATCACATACATGTCAGCTTCATATGATGTGATTTAAGTGGATTGGTAAGAGTTTGTATCACAGATATGTTTTCTTAGAATTTGCTTCAGGGCCACTGCAACTATTCTGAGTCTCATGGGAAGATTTGATTTTTCTGACCAGTTATGTTTCTTCTGATGGTTTTTAATACCAGTTCTCCAGCAATTGCTCCCTGGACTGCCCCATGAGCAACATGAAGACAGTACACTAGTAGGATAATTTGAGGTCATATGACCTCAATAATAATATGTTACAGAGCAAGGAGGTTCTTCAAAGTTGTTACATCATTCCTCTTAGAGTGACTTTATATCTGCATGGATGAGAAGTTTTCCCAGAAATTTCATATAAGTGATGTGGGTTTTTTAATGTAAAAGAGGATTTGTGGCTCAGTATCGGTTCAGCAAAATAGCATAAAAATAACATTGATGCCAGTAGCATGACACTCATTTCTCACATGGGACTGAGTGTAAGGACTAAAACTGTGTACTTTGTGTTTTAATATTTGGTCTATGGTACATGCCCAATATAGACCTGAAGACAAAATCTAAACTTATATATATGTACTGCAGTGCGACTCAGTTTCTTTTGTAGGTAAAATGAAAACAAAAGGAGAAAAGAGCAAGGGTGGTGACTTTGGCAAGTACAGATGAAGAAAATATGTTTTTATGTAGGCAGAAGTGGAATATAAGCAGTGAGTGGTTATTTTATTGTGTAAATCAATAAAATGCTTGCTGAATTAAAAACAGGACAGGTTCTTGAAATCAAGTGCTAGATAATCAACAGATGAGTAACTCGCATGCAGGTGACCAAAGAGCTATATTATCTCTCTGTAAGAAGCAGTGAAGTTAAAAGTAGTGGGGTTTTTGTACAGCATATTGAAGACTAATAATAAGATGTAGGTTTTTTTAGTTAGTTTAGGTTTTGTTATTGCAACTTCATGAATGCTACTGTCAAATTATCTATTTCTTTTACAATAGAATATCATTAGAAAACAGATTCAATGTTACTACCTTTGTATTTTCAGATACTCTCCTTCTGGGAGAATAATCATAGGAAATAGATTGAATTAAGATTTAATTAGATGACATTTTCATTTTGTCTCATAGTCAAAAAAACCTGGTTGCATAAATGGTACAAGTGATAATTGTACATGCAGTAAAGGCAGTAAAGCCTTTGAAAGCCAAGGATATCTCACCTCAGGAGCGGTTACAGAGGACTGAAATAGTTGCTTATAAGTGTCCAAAAATGGTTAGGTGCTTTGTTTTGCTTTGCCAACTTTGACCTGAAGTGCAGGTATTACAGCTGGATTAATTTTAAATGTTAAAAATGACAATTTTTTAATGTAATAGCATAATCCTGGGAAAAGCTGAAATGCAGATTTTGTTTAAAAGTACAGACAGAGGATGTCTGGTGTTGATTTTTCATTGCTTATGTGAAAATTTAGACTGGTATTTGCTTGTAAAATTCTACTGATGTGTAAGTGCAGCCTCTATGGCAAAGTTGCTAACAGGTGTCCTTAATTTCCTATTTCCTGTCTCCTCTCTTTTTTCTGTTTGTTTTTGTTTGTTTGGTTTTTTTGTAAGACTTTTATAGTATTGAATAAAGGGAAGACAATCTTCAGGTTCAGTGCCACACCTGCCTTGTACCTTTTATCTCCTTTCAATATTGTTAGAAGAATAGCTATTAAGATTTTGGTTCATTCATATCCTTTTCAAGTGGTTTGTTAAAAATTATTACTGGTCTTTTTTAATCTTTAATAACAATGGGGGTTTTTGTTTAGTGTTTAAATGTGTACCTACATTTAATTCTTCCTTTCAAAATGAATCAGAGCTAAGATTTGTCTCTTTAGCTTTCTGGTTAAATTCAGAGGGAGATACACAGCATGTGTGCCTAGATTACAGAGTTAGTGATATAGCCATCATTATTGTGAAACCTCTTTGCATTGTTGATGACATTATTTGCATCATTATTTGCGCCATTATTTGCATTATTGATGACAAGAGTATGTTCCTTAACTATAGTCAACATTGTTCAGCATGCTCATTATGCTCACTATTTTGACAAACTGTGTTTTTATGACGTGGAGTAACCTTCCTGAGTGGGCAAAGAATGTAGAGTAAGTATACTTAAATCAGCTTGTAATTTTTTATATGGTTTAAAAACAAAAAGTTAAGAGCTAGACTATATAGTTTTACTTACCCCCGTGTGTTATACCAGTATTCTCCTTTTTCTAGCCTGAGTTTGATCCTAGCTGCTACTCAAAGCAGCATAGACCTTCAAGGTCAAGGAAGAAAACAAGCTGTGATATTGTTATTTTTTTCCTCTGAACAATATTCTGATTAATACTATTGTTCAGAGTGTTTGTACAACTAATGCTTTTATGCATTCTCCTTCTTGAGCTGTTCCTTCGGAATTTATATATATATATGTAAAAAAAAGAATAATAAGGCCATTCTGCCTGAAACTACTTCTTTTCATTGAGGAAGATGCTTTCTAAGGCCCTTTGAGGCATCTTCATTTTGTATAACAAAATCTAAAAGGGGTCTCTATAGTTTACAGAAGAGGAGACTGAGGGGTGACCTTATTAGTGTATATAAAAATATAAAGGGGGAGTGTCACGAGGATGGAGCCAGGCTCTACTCAGTAGCAAACAATGATAGGACAAGGGGTAATGGGTACAAACTGGAACACAAGAGGTTCCACTTAAACTTGAGAAGAAACTTCTTCTCAGTGAGGGTGACGGAGCACTGGAACAGGCTGCCCAGGGAGGTTGTGGAGTCTCCTTCCCTGGAGACATTCAAAACCCGCCTGGACGCATTCCTGTGTAACATTATCTAGGTGTTCCTGCTCCGGCAGGGGGATTGGACTAGATGATCTTTCGAGGTCCCTTCCAATCTCTAGCATACTGTGATACTGTGACACACACACCCTTATTAAAGAAAATACCTCTGCTAAGGATTATTATTTGACATTCTCAAGTATACCTGGTCATCCATCAAGTGCTAGAAAACCCTAGGTTTCATTTACCTATGGATTTTTTTTTCTGGCGTGGCAACCATGCTGAAATTTTTATTTGAGCAAAAATATTTTTGTGATAGTCATGATTATTATTATTATTTCTGCTGAAATTTCAAAATCTCATATGCCAGGAACTGCAAAAATGTATCAGATAAAATAAATAATTGATCCAATTATCTTGCAGAGCAGTGGTGGGAAAACAGCCGTAGTTTATGTGAGTTTGTAATTACTGTTACAGTATGTGTAACAGTCACTGGGTCCTAGTGGTTTTCCATTATGCCTGTGGTGTTGTATCACTGAAGGACAATCTTATACTTCTGCTTGGATGTTTTCTCATAGATACACTTTCACTGGAATTTATACTTTTGAGTTTCTGGTAAAAATCCTTGCAAGAGGCTTCTGTATAAATGATTTTACTTGCCTTCGTGACCCCTGGAACTGGCTTGATTTTGTTGTCATTTCCTTTGCGTAAGTATATAGTTTTTTTAAAGTAAAATATCAGATTTTTTTTTTTTTTTTTTAACCTGTAATAATTTGTTTGGGTTATTTTATCTCATGTAAAATGAATTGTAGTTGAATTGTGTTTCAACTTTTTCCATTTTAGTATTTTACACTAATGTAGCACACAGCAGAATTAGTGGACGGTCCCACAGTTTAAAAGTAGATGTTACCACTGGACAATTAATTTTAAAGAGTATTTAAACAATATAAACAGGGAAATAATTTTTAATTTACATTCAATGGAGATTCACTTAAGTGTGTGTTTCTTAGGGAAAACTTAGTTGAAACAGGAATATATGAATTGCAAGTCTTTCATTTAAAGTTCCCCTTCCAAAAATTCCAGTCTGGATTACAGGTCCAGGTAAGCAGTGTATGCTTTACCTCAATTCTGAATAACTGTGATTTAATCCTACAGGTATATAACAGAATTTGTAAACCTAGGCAATGTTTCAGCTCTTCGAACTTTCAGAGTATTGAGAGCTTTGAAAACTATTTCTGTAATTCCAGGTAAGAAGTAAATGTGTAAAATAGTAGGCACTCTACATCACCTCTGTTTAATTTTGTGTGTGCTGTCATTGTGTTTGTGTGTGGAATCCCTCACTGCAGATATGTGACAGAGTTTGTGGACCTGGGCAATGTCTCAGCCTTGAGAACATTCAGAGTGCTTCGAGCTTTGAAAACAATATCAGTCATCCCAGGTGAGAGCTAGGTTAAACACTGAGGCTGACTGAAATTCGAGAGGAGCTGAACTCTTATCTTTAACAGAAGCATCCAGATTTTAGTCTTAAGTGCAATTTGATTCCCTTTTCTAATACTCTAAAATGCTCAGCCTCAGAGTTTAATACATTCTTGCATGAGAAACTGAATCACATATCCTGTGCATACTTCCATTTCATGGTGTCAAATTTGCTCTCCCACATTAAGGATCAAAATGATTTTTTTTTTATTTTTCTCTCACTAATTTTAATGTTACTGTTTATCAAAGACATTTGGGATTGAAAATTTCAGTCTGTTGTAGAAGTTGAATTCCTGACAAAAGCTCAAGATAATAAAGAGTAGCATGGGAACTGCATGGTGTATTTATTACCTTAAGATGCCTGTCTTCACCAAACTACACCTCCAGTTGAAGAGGATGCAAAAGAATGCAGTCATAAGAATTTCTACCACAGTGCAATTGTGTTCTGTTTTTGTTTGCTGTTGTAGAACCAATGTATTGGAATAGAGCACTGGCAAAGGTTTGGAGCAAGAGGCATCAAGAAGAAAATGAAATGACAAATATTCTTTACATGTAGTTTACATGTATAGAAAGCATGAATAAAAAGTTCCCTCTTCATTTGAACAGCAAGTGTTTTGGAACGTGTCACATTCGTTCACATTCATATTTTCAAATTAATTTGTCAGGAACCATAAGACTCATTGGTACTTTTTTTTTTCCTTTGGAAAATATTTTAAGACTTTTTAGAAGCTGTGCATGATATTTGTATGTTAGAGTAGTTCACGTCACATTTTAGTGTAGGTAAATATTTAATATTGTAACAAAAATCTGCTTCTCTCTGCAGGCTTGAAGACTATTGTTGGAGCCTTAATTCAGTCTGTGAAGAAGCTCTCAGATGTAATGATTTTGACTGTGTTTTGCCTGAGTGTATTTGCACTAATAGGGCTGCAGTTGTTCATGGGCAATTTGAAGAATAAATGCTTGTTCTGGCCATCAGACAATTCAACATCTTTTGAAAATTACCTAGCTCCATACTTTAATGGCACGGAGTTTGATTGGACAGCATACATTGAGAATGAAAGTAAGAAACACTTTTGCAACTTAAAAAAAATTTTGTGTTTAAACACATTCACACACAAGATTACCGTTTCATACTGTAGGTTAAAGGTAAAAAGCAATTAAATGTGATGACAAAGAGTAGGGATTTGCATGTATTTGTATCCCAAAACTATGCTGACATGCTTGTTCTGCACTTAGAAACATATTTATAGGGTTAGGTTGATTTTAGAATCACAGATTCATGCAGGTTGGACAAGATCTCCACAGTCAGCCAGACCAGCTGCTGCTTGCCTGCAGGTCCAGTTAGAGGAGTCTACTCAGTGCCATGTCCAGTCAATTTTTTAATATCTCTGAGAACTGAGATACCACAGTGTCTCTGGGCAGCCTGCCCAGTGTTTGACCTGTCTCACAGTGTCTTTTTAAAATATCAAATCTGAATTTTAAACTTTTCATAATTGCCTCTTACACTTCCAGTGTGCGCCTCTGGGAAGAGTCAGGCTCCATCTTGAGTTTTCCATGTTGTAGGCAGTGTGAAGATCCACCTACACCCTCCCATCCTCCCACCCCGATCTCAAGGCTGAACAAACCTAATTCTTTTAGCCTCTGCTTGTATCTTTAGGTTGTAAATAAGGTAGAAAAGCACTAGATAAATATCAGTGATTTCCTAGTTAAGATGTACTTTTATTATTAGGTAGATGTAAGAAATCAGTTGGTCTCTTAAATAAAGAACTCACTAAGCAAGTAGTGGTTCTGATAGGAAAGAAGATGGTATTCATCTTGTAGGACATATTGTTTACTAAGGGGACTGACAAAGACATCTTAATCGAGATGTTTTTCAGTAGTCTTAATCTCTCTAGACTGAAGTGATAACAGGCAGGTTCAGAAACAGACAGCTATTTTTTGTGTTTGTGTCATATTAAGTGGTAGCACCAGTAACCATGAGATGTAGTACATCATCTTCTAATTGCCAAAAATTTGATTCATTTTCATATGTGAGTGTGTGCTGGAAGTGGATTTACGGGGTATTGCTCAGTAATTATTTGCAATAGTGTGTTTAAAGAAAAAGAAATTGGTAGAATAGTGGATGCTAGCTCCCTCCTCACTGACCCAAAAGTAAAAGCAAATACAGTTGTTACAGGCTGAGTTTTGATGTGTCATGTTTCCTTCCTTCCTTAAAAATGGACATTAAAATTCTTTTTTCTGTATTTTCAGATTTTCTTTCTAAACTTCTGAATTGTTAATGTTCTCAAAATTCTGTGACTGTATTTACATTTTTTGTGCAATCTATTATTTTAGCTGGTTTATTTGCTTAAGAAGTGTTGCAGAAATGGAGTGATGATAGTGCTTTGTGGATAATTTTGGCTGATAGCTTATATGCTGTAGAACACTTGTCAATTTTCTCTTCAGATACAGTATAGAGGTTTTCTATTTCCATTTCCCACTAAGTATCAATCTAAAACTAAACCACAGAACTAAAATCTTCAAGAATGTCATTTGCTTCCTATACTACAGCCATTGACTTTGCTGGGAGTCTCTACAGAGTGCTGATGCAGGCGAGGAAGTTCCATCTAGTTGTGTTTATATTCCTCCATTCTTATACAACCTGTTCTTAATCATTTTTATATGTCAGTTGTATTATAATTTCAGTGAACTCAGTTGTTTGTCCTCCTAGTATTATTTTTCATCATATCATATGCTGGTCAGCTGTGAGTGAGTGTGATGCCATCTAGTGACTTTTTCTAACATATGTGCATTTTCATTGACTAAGGAACAAAGCCAGATTTACTTTTTGAAAATACATGAACAATCCACATGTCAGAGTATTGGCACCTGGCATTTAGATCAGTAGCTGAACATTCAGAGTTTTGGCGAGCTCTAAAGAATCTATGGAAATAATGGGATTATAATTTTTCTAACATTGTGTAAGTACTGCTATTGAATGGTAGGATTTTGGCATTACTAGGCTTGATGTAAGTGTTCG